TCCTCATGAAGGACCTTCACGCTATCTTCGGAAAAGAGATACGGGAGGTGAAGGATAAGGTTGCTCAACATGACAACCGCCTGTCGGAGGCCGAAACCCGAATCGACCAAGTAAACAATCGGGTTGACAACGTAATGGCTGACGTGAAGAAAACGCTGAACGACCTCAAACTTGGGGATGGTACAACAGCTCCCGTAGTCTCTTTGCTACGTGGATTCAAGTGCCGCCGTTCGACGGGACCTCTTCCTGGTCGGCCTACAAAATCCAGTTCGAGGCCGTCATGGAGGCGAACGGCTGGAATAAAAGCCAAGCCATGACTGCACTCACCCTAGGCCTGCGCGACCAAGCCTTAACTGTGTTGGAAGCTCTCGGTAAGAAAGTGACCTACGAGCAGCTTCTTGAGGCCTTGGAGGCGAGATATGGCGACGCTCACCTGGAACACGTTAAAGATCGCGTGCAGCGCAGCAACGAAAACCTGCAGCAGTGGGCCCTTGAGGTGGAGAAGATGGTTCGAAAATCATACCAGTCTGTACCTGCGCTCATTGAAGGGAACCTGGTTCAGACATTCATCGACGGCATCCGCGACCTTGAAGTCAGAGCTGCTGTGAGACTCGGGCACCACGACACGCTTAAGAACGCCTTGGCCCATGCACTGGAGGTGGAAGCCGTGCGGCAGGATCATCGTTCCCATCGCATCAGGGAGGTTGCAGCAGCTACAGTTCGCGACCGCAACAGAGGATACAGCCTAGGGCTGTATCCTCTGTTGCTATGGCTGTGAGGAAAAGGGCTATCTTCGATCCAGCTGCCCTAAGCGAACCCTAGAAAGGGAAGTTGAACGATCTCAGGAGGGTAGTGCGGCCAACAGCACCGCCCAGCAGCAGCAGGGAAACGAGTAAAAGCCAGAACTGCGGGGCGGGTGCTGGCTGGTGTTAAAAGAGCCCCAAGGATCTCGATCTCACAAACCCATGATGGGAACAGTCTAATCATCAAGGGCGAGGTCAACGGAATGCCGTGTAAACTGACCATAGACACTGGAGCCTCTCGTACGGTTGTTAGTTCCCAACTTATAAGTCAGTTCCTTGGGGACTCCGCATACAACCGAGAACGCATTAATTTGGTAACAGCCACCGGTCAGCGTATACCCGTCCGTGGAGAGAAGGAGATGGAGTTGAAGCTAGGCAACGTGATCTACCTGCATAATGTCATCGTGGCTGATATAATGGACGACTGCATCCTAGGCCTAGACTTTATGAGGAATAATTGTTGTGAGATCGACGTTAAGCAAGGTGTTTTGAAATGTGGACAGGAGGAACTTTTTATGGAAGGTGCGTAACCAGGGAACGTGTACAGCATTAAGAAGATTGTTCTTCCGCCGAGCTCGGAAACGATTGTTCCGGTTAGTCTTCCTCGAAACGCTGGGCAAGCTCACCGTTGTGTACTTGTGGAAAGGGTAAACAATGACCTTCCATGGAAAGTAGCTCGAACCTTGGTCAGGACCACTGACATCTCAGGAGTACGTGTGCTGAACCTTTGCGACCGGGAACAGATTGTAGAAAAAGGCACACTGATTGGTACTTGTGAGGAAGTGGATTGGTTACGTCGGTGCCAATATATATTGAGTGGTACCCCCAGCAAGGATGTAGAAACGAGAGTGACCACACTTTTAGAAGACTGTCGCAGTGTTTTCTCCCCGAACGAATTGGTCAAGGCGAAGAAGTTGTTACTCAAGTACGCCGATGTATTCTCATCAAACGATGCTGACATAGGAAAGACTGGCTTAGTTCAACACAAAATAAACACAGGAGAAGAATTGCCTATCCGTCAGCGGCCAAGAAGATTGCCGGTAGCACGTGAAAAGGAAGTGGAAACCATGATTGAGGGAATGGTGAAGGATGGTGTTATTGAACCTTCATCTAGTCCATGGTGTTCACCCATGGTGCTGGTAAAGAGGAAGAATGGCAGCATGCGGTTCTGTGTTGATTACCGCCGTCTGAACGACGTTACAAAGAAGGACAGCTATCCCTTGCCAAGAATTGATGACACGCTGGACATGCTTACAGGAGTAAAATGGTTTAGCACGCTGGATCTAAAAAGTGGCTACTGGCAAGTTGAAATTGACCCTAAGGACAAGGAGAAAACTGCGTTCTCGACGGGAAAGGGTCTGTGGCAATTCAAAGTAATGCCGTTTGGGTTGTGCAATGCTCCAGCAACGTTTGAAAGGCTGATGGAACTTGTACTTACCGGGCTAATTGGCGATGCCTGTCTGGTCTACTTGGATGACATCATCATCGTGGGCCGTACGTTTGAGGAACACCTTGAAAACCTGGGACGCGTGCTCATGAAGATTCAGAGTGCCAATCTCAAGCTGAGTCCTAAGAAATGTTCACTATTCAAACGGCAAGTCAACTTTTTGGGGTATGTAGTGTCGGAAGAAGGTATCCGCACGGATCCAGAGAAAATCGCAGCTGTAAAGGATTGGCCGGTTCCAAAAGACAAGACGCAGGTTAGAGAATTTTTGGGTTTGTGCTCCTATTACCGGCGATTTGTGAAGAACTTTGCAGATATTGCCAAACCTCTGCATAAGCTAACCGAGAAGAAGCGACATTTCTGCTGGGATGAAAGTTGTAATATCGCATTCCAGGAGCTCAAGGACCGTCTGTGCAAAACACCTATTTTGGGATACCCTGATGGGACCAATATAAAATTATTGAGGATGCGCAGGAAAACTCGTGATTTTATTGTCGTATCGTTTATTCTGCTATCCATGGACGACTGCTCCCAAAATCTAGAACACTGTTCTTTTTATACATATAATAAGAGATGCCCTCTCGTGGCAACAAGGTAAACTAGGTACTTACATTACAGTTGTCAGTAAAGCGCCATCTGTTCGAAACGAGTGGGACCACAAGAAAGAGCCACCTGGTTCGTACAGATGTGTAATAAGGAAATATGTTGTTAGTAGTTGGTTTCAGCTTCCAACAGATGGAACCACTAACTACTAACATTCTGCCAGCCAGCATAAATCTAACTCAAGTAAGCTGATACATTATTTATGTTGTGAACAAGCTAAATGGCAGCATGTTAGGCTAAAAAGTAGACTAACTTTAACCCATTAGAGGCCAAACCCAAACTATAAATAACAATCGCGGACTTGAACCGCGAATCAAAACAGAGTAGAAATAAATAAGGAAGAGAAACCAGATAGGTAAACGTTTGCCAAAGCTACATTATTGATTAAATTTAACAAAAATGTAATGCGACTGCTAATGGGTTAAGCTTAGATTGGACCGAACACCAATTAAAAATACAGAAATCTAAAACGCTAGGTAGTTAGGCTAATTAATTTACTTAACATCCAATTCCACTTAAGTTAAATGCCTATCTGAAGTACGAGGTATCTTTTTATTAACATTATAGTTAATCTATATTAATTGGTAGTGGACATAGATGAACATATGATCTTTTTATTTCGCCTTTGGAAGTTAACACTGTCGCGACTCTAGCCACACTATCACGTCCGTCATGGGTTTGTCTGATTCGTCCCAGCTTCCACTGGCAGGGAGGGAGACGGTCATCCTTCACCACCACCATCGTGCCCACGGAGAGAGCTAGGCCCTTCGAGCTCCGCCACTTGGTACGTTGTTGTAGGATCCCGATGTAGTCGCGAGACCATCTTCGCCAGAAGTCCTGTTGAAGCTGCTGTAGCTGCTGGAACAGCGTGAGCCTGTGGGCGGGAACATCCTTGTACTCATAGTCGGGAACGGTGGTTATAGCCCTACCTATCAAGAAGTGAGCTGGTGTTAATGCGGAAAAGTCATTAATATCTGTATTAGACAAGGGACACAATGGTCGTGAATTTAAAATTCCTTCTACCTGTATAAGTACTGTTACAAATTCTTCATAAGTCAGAAGTGCTGCAGCTAAAACTCTTTTTAGAAAATATTTACAACTTTTTACAGCAGCTTCGTATATCCCGCCCATGTGCGGTGTGTAGACCGGTAAAGAGCTCCATTTGATGCCGTCGTTACTAAGTGAGGTCATAATTTTCGTCTGAACTGTCCCTTAAAAATTGGTAGATTTCATTTATCTGGTTGCTAGCTAAGAGTTTCCCTGCGCATCCTCAATAATTTTATATTGGTGACCCCTTCTCCCGTCCGAGGATTAATAAAACACAGAAGAAATAGAGTGCAAACACGAAACCGAACCGGCCATTTGAAAAATCAAGAGCGCAACGGAGATATTTTTTCATCGGAAGACGTGGTGCACGGCTAGGGGCCAGAGATAGCCTGGGACCTGATGTCCTTCTGTGGATCTTCGGAGCAAACCCATATTTGTTGAGGACGAGGCGGACAGGGACGGGGAAACTACGAAAAACGGCATTTACCAAGAACTTCGTCTGTGTCGATGTTGATCGACATAACCTACCAATAGGCCACGCGGTGGCCACAAACAACCAACATTCACCAGTGACATCGAAGAATAAGATAAGTAGCCTTGCCTATCTAAGTAGTGAGCTTTTTTTATACCTGTATAGTACTGATTATCTCAAAACCAAAGTTCTTTTATACTACAATGTATGAGCCAGTAGTCGATTTGAAGGAATTAGTTAAAAACGGGGGATTATCAAGGGGAAATTAACCCTTTTTGTCAAATATCTTAATGCGCTTGAGGGCCCTCGTTCTTCTGAAAAATACATCGACTTACAGTTACGATATTCTAAGATAACTAAAATACCGGTTGATTATGAAAATATCCAAGATTTAATAGAAACTGCTTGCACGGATTATGAAGTACAACTTCAAGAGAGAGAGGCCCTTGAGAACAACTATTATACCAATGTTTCTTTGTGTAAAAAACAGCAAGAATTTGAAAATAGAAATCTATAATTACAGTAACATAACCTATATTAAATTAAATGAGTTGTTTGCTCTTACCAAGGTACTAGTTACTAATCACTTGCGAGAACTTTAAGTATTGAAAAATTCAATCAACGCCATCAGCTTTGAGAACATTAGTTGATAACCTGTCGAAGCATCTCAGAACCTTAAACAAGTTGTCGGTTAACACAGAAAACTGGGATGTTACATTGATTTTCCTCTTGAGCTCTAAACTTGATAAATTCTTACACCGTAAATGGGAAGAAAAAACCAACTCACGAGAATTGCCTAATTTACAGGATTTCAAGTCCTTTCTGTGCGCTCAGGCTGACCTGCTGGAGTCCCTGGGTTCTGACAGGCCGGATGAGCAACCGGAAGCGAATGGAACAAGGAAGGCCTTGGTGATCGCGTCCTCCCCGGGTCATGGTACATCTCCAAAACCATCCCCTAAACCTAAGGTATTTAGCAATCAATGCCCTTATTGTAAAGAGTCTCATTACATTCAATACTGCCCAAAGTTCTTGGCCCTAAATGTGACGTCACGCCTTCGCGCAGTCCGAAAAATAGGCCTTTGCATTAATTGTTTGGGAGCGAACCACATCGTAGCAAACTGCCGGGCGAGTCTTTGCCGAACCTGTAAAGGTAAACATCATACACTTTTACATATAGGAAATTCCCATCATGCTAATAACCAATCAAACAACCAAGGTCAACAGCAACCACTAACTACATTGTACACTAACCCGCAGCCCGCCACAAATACAACTCCAACATCACGTATTGAGAACCCACAACAATCGGTTAACTTGCATACCAGCCGTAATATTGATTTAACACAACCATACCTACAACAAACTGTTTTCTTATCTACAGCATTGATTGATGTACTCGACGTCAATAATCACCAGCACACTTTGCGTGCACTTCTCGATTCGGGCTCGCAATCCAACTTTATAACGGAGTCGGCTTTTAAAAGGTTGAATTTACCTAGAAATAGTGTAAACATGGAGGTTTTAGGGTTTAACGAAAGCGTGACCCAGATTAATCACAGTTGTCTACTGACAATCCAATCAAAATGTGAAGCATTTTCTACCAATTTGTCCTTCTTCATTGTGCCTATGATTTGCAAACTGCCTTCTTATGTCGAAAGTGTAAAACAACTTAATATCCCACATAATTTTCGAATGGCAGACAAAACCTTTTATCAAGGCGGTGATATCGATATATTAGGTGTCGAGATATTTTATGATCTTTTGTCTAATAACCAGTATAGATTAGGCGTAGGGTTGCCAACTTTACAAAAAACACGATTGGGCTGGATCGTGTCGGGAACGGCCTATGTACCTTCTAGCCGTAGGGCTGTTAGATGCAATTTTGTTCAAACCAGGAACCCAAACTTTGGTGAATTTAGTAGTACAACAGAGTTTCCAGATGATGATATTGCTCAATGTGAAAAGGTATTTGAGACCCATTCACGCACACCTGATGGAAACTTTGTGATAACCATTCCGTTAAAGGAACCCATTTCTTCGTTAGGTCATTCCAAACCCGCTGTATTTAAACGTTTCAAATCGTTAGAATCCAAATTTTCTTGCGACCAAGGTTATAAGGAAAAATATGTCAGGTTTATGCAAGAATTTGAACAATCAGGGCATATGATTAAACGAGACTCAAATGAGCCCTGTAACTACCTACCTCACCATGCTGTGGTTAACCTGGAAAAGGAAACCACACCCCTTAGAGTCGTAATAGATGCATCCCATAAAACCAGCTCAGGGAGATCCCTTAACGACATACAATATAAAGGTGCAATGAACCAGGACGAATTAATTAATATTATGATGAGATTTCGAAAACATAAATTTGTTATTTGCGCGGATATCGAAAAAATGTATCGTATGATTTTTGTCAACCCTAACCAACACAACCTGCAATGTATCTTATGGCGCGAAGACCCTAATCACCCGCTGCACACCTACACACTAACTACACTCAGTTTCGGTTTGAAGTGCGCACCGTACCTTGCCACTCGATGTCTACAACAACTCGCGCATGAATTTCGGGAACAGTACCCGGAAGCGGCGACTGCAATATTAACCAATTTCTATATTGACGATTTAGTTCATAGTGGAGATGACGCTCAGAAGGTTGTCGAAACAGCTATTCAAATCGACAGAATATTACGGACCGCGAACTTCAAACTTAGAAAGTGGAAATCGAATTCGGAGGCCATTATAAAGATTGTTAATAAAACCGACGAAACACACACTAGTTCACAAACATATGACTCGCAACACACTAGTACAAAACTACACACAGAAAACCCACATAAGGTTTTAGGCCTACAGTGGTGTAACCAAAGCGACTTTATAACGTATTCGTTCATTGACAAACTGACTAATTATTCGTTAACCAAAAGGAAGGTATTATCTGTTGCCTCTGCAATATTTGATCCACTGGGTTTAATCGCACCAATTTTAATAACCGCGAAATGTTTCATAAAAAAATTGTGGCAAAATAACATCGGCTGGGATGAGGAACTACCTCTTTCTCAAGAGGAAGAATGGCGTAATTTCTATAATAGCCTGTTTATAGTAAACTCTTTAATGATACCTAGACGCGTTATCATCCCTGAATCTGTTTTGATAGAACTGCACGGCTTTGCGGACAGCTCAATGACCGCGTACGGGGCAACTATGTACCTACGGTCTATAGATGCCAACGGTAACGTATTAGTGGGTTTATTATGCGCGCAAACGAGAATCGCTCGTGATGAAACTATACCTGGATTAGAGTTGAGAGCAGCTCATTTATTAGCCAACTTAATGCACAAGGTTCGTCATGTTTTGGATCTTCAATCGTCCAAAATGTTTTTATGGTCCCATTCAAATATTGTATTGGCATGGATAAAGACAAATACGCCTTCCAAATTGATACCATTTGTAAAAAATCAAGTAATCGAAATTATAAATTACACCAAATCGGACGACTGGCATTGGGTTCCGTCCGCTGATAACCCAGCTGATCTTTTTATCTAGGGGTGTTCCAGCGGCTAAGTTGGCACAGACAACCATGTGGTGGCAAGGCCCCACGTGGTTGTCACAACCTAATATTGATAACTGGCCGCCTCAGAATGAATGTAATTACCAACATAAGGTAGATATTATTTCTTGTGTTACTACGGAACCCCAATCACTTTCATTCATGGAAAAATTGTTTAAAAAATACTCAACATATGAAAGGTTGTTACGAGTTTTTGCCTATGTACTTAGATTCTTAAATAATGTAAAAAAACAAGGACAAATGTTTAGGTGTCCTCTCGGTTGAGGAGTTGAAACAATCTCACGATAAACTTATCATGTTAGCTCAGAGCGAATCCTTTCCAAATGAATATCTCACATTAAAGAAAGACAAACCACTGCCACAGACGTCAAATATATTGTGCCTAAAACCTTATATGGAAAATGGTCTACTACGAGTGGGTGGACGCATTGAAAACTCTCCATATTCTCACGATAAGAAACACCCTATATTGTTACATAACCGACACATACTTACCAAGCTTATAGTTCAGTCATACCACATAAAGCTCATGCATGCTGGGCCGCAGTTACTTCTGGCATCGATTCGCGAACGCTACTGGCCTATCCATGGTCAGAGTTTAGTAAATAAGGTGACACGCGAATGCGTCACGTGCTTTAGGGCCAAGCCCAGGCCTAGCGCCCCAATTATGGGTGAACTGCCGGCATCTCGCGTTACCCCCTCCCTTCCGTTTTCAACAACAGGTAATTATGCAGGGCCATTTAATTTGAAGACCTGGAGAGGACGTGGGGCCAGGACTTACAAGGCGTATGTCGCATTGTTTGTTTGTTTTGCTACCAAGGCAATTCACATTGAGTTGGTTACAGGTCTTGACACCCAGTCGTTTTTAGCTGCCTTCCGAAGGTTCGTCTCCCGTAGAGGTAAACCACAGCAAATGGTGAGTGACAATGGTACCACATTCCAGGGCGCTAGCAACCAGATAATTGAAATCTACCAATTTTTAAGGGACAGTTCAGACGAAATTATGACCTCACTTAGTAACGACGGCATCAAATGGAGCTTTTTACCGGTCTACACACCGCACATGGGCGGCATATACGAAGCTGCTGTAAAAAGTTGTAAATATTTTCTAAAAAGAGTTTTAGCTGCAGCACTTCTGACTTATGAAGAATTTGTAACAGTACTTATACAGGTAGAAGGAATTTTAAATTCACGACCATTGTGTCCCTTGTCTAATACAGATATTAATGACTTTTCCGCATTAACACCAGCTCACTTCTTGATAGGTAGGGCTATAACTACCGTTCCCGACTATGAGTACAAGGATGTTCCCGCCCACAGGCTCACGCTGTTCCAGCAGCTACAGCAGCTTCAACAGGACTTCTGGCGAAGATGGTCTCGCGACTACATCGGGATCCTACAACAACGTACCAAGTGGCGGAGCTCGAAGGGCCCAGCTCTCTCCGTGGGCACGATGGTGGTGGTGAAGGATGACCGTCTCCCTCCCTGCCAGTGGAAGCTGGGACGAATCAGACAAACCCATGACGGACGTGATAGTGTGGCTAGAGTCGCGACAGTGTTAACTTCCAAAGGCGAAATAAAAAGATCATATGTTCATCTATGTCCACTACCAATTAATATAGATTAACTATAATGTTAATAAAAAGATACCTCGTACTTCAGATAGGCATTTAACTTAAGTGGAATTGGATGTTAAGTAAATTAATTAGCCTAACTACCTAGCGTTTTAGATTTCTGTATTTTTAATTGGTGTTCGGTCCAATCTAAGCTTAACCCATTAGCAGTCGCATTACATTTTGTTAAATTTAATCAATAATGTAGCTTTGGCAAACGTTTACCTATCTGGCTTCTCTTCCTTATTTATTTCTACTCTGTTTTGATTCGCGGTTCAAGTCCGCGATTGTTATTTATAGTTTGGGTTTGGCCTCTAATGGGTTAAAGTTAGTCTACTTTTTAGCCTAACATGCTGCCATTTAGCTTGTTCACAACATAAATAATGTATCAGCTTACTTGAGTTAGATTTATGCTGGCTGGCAGAATGTTAGTAGTTAGTGGTTCCATCTGTTGGAAGCTGAAACCAACTACTAACAACATATTTCCTTATTACACATCTGTACGAACCAGGTGGCTCTTTCTTGTGGTCCCACTCGTTTCGAACAGATGGCGCTTTACTGACAACTGTAATGTAAGTACCTAGTTTACCTTGTTGCCACGAGAGGGCATCTCTTATTATATGTATAAAAAGAACAGTGTTCTAGATTTTGGGAGCAGTCGTCCATGGATAGCAGAATAAACGATACGACAATAAAATCACGAGTTTCCCTGCGCATCCTCAATAATTTTATACAAGCAAAGAATTTATAGTTGACACAGACGCAAGTGATATAGGACTTGGCGGTGTGTTGTCTCAACGGAATGGTGACCAAGAGGTCGTGATAGCGTACTTCAGCAAGTCGTTGTCAAAACCGGAAAGGAACTATTGTGTCACAAGACGCGAATTGCTAGCTGTGGTAAAGTCGTTGCAGCATTTTAGCAAATATCTTCTGGGGCGAAAACTTCACTTACGAACTGACCATGCTGCACTAAAATGGCTATTGCAGTTTAAAAATGTAACATTAAGCCGGCAACAGAAAGCCGGCAGCCATCGAGACACGAGGCAGATCAGCGGAAGTCCAGGTGGGTGCACATGCATTCCTTCACGTCCTTCCTATATCCCGAATTTAGGGCATTTGCAGTATCATGAATAAATTAAATTCCATTCACCGCTCGCACCGCGCTCATATACAGTCCACTACTCTATTTAAATTAATAGCCGCACCGCATAAAATTATTTAATACATTTGAACCAGCAGTTTGGTCGTTAAAACCAAAACGCCAAACCCACCACTCGGTTTCGTCATATTATATTCTTTTAATACCTCTCAAAATACATATTCGTGGGCCGGCCCAATCTTTACTTTTCATTACTTATTTTATCAAGCTTTTCAAAAATAACGCGTTATCTTCCGTGTTGAATATGCATATTTCTTTAACATTAATTTTTTTACAGAACTCGCTCAATTTAGCTACAAATTCGGCTCGCATAAAATGTAAGCTAAAAATCACGGTTAATGTAAATTATTTGTTTCCTTTGTGCATAGCTAAAGCATTTTGACTCTAAATCAATCTCATTTTTATTTCTAAGTCATTTACTATATTTCCTTTCACTAATTTCATCTCACAAGAATTATTTGATATTCATAAAACTCCAAGACTCTCGGTTGATCAGGCTGATTGTCTGTGGGTTTATCAGGAGTATTATTTTCTCTATTATTTTTATCTTATTGTTATTTTCCATTTCAATAACTAATCTCCACTTTTTTGTGTCTGGTTGATCCGAATTTTTTTGGGGAACTAATAAAATTGGGCTTGACCATTCGCTTTTTGTTTCCTCAATAATATGTTTTAATAGTTGTTTAATTTGTGCATTCAATTTTGACTTTGAACTGTTCGGTAGCCTGTATAGTTTCACATAAACAGTACTGCTATTAGGCTTCAAATGAATACCTCGTTGATAGAGATTCGTGGAACAAAGCTTATCGCCCGGTAAAGAAAATATGTCAGCATACTTCGAAAAAATACCTTCTATAGTTTGTCGCTCGTAACAATGTAAGTGATCTAATTTCAGTAACGTTATCAATATCAAATTTAGCTCTTTATGAACTTGAATTAAATTTATTAAATGAACTCATTTCGTATTCACTTAATAAGTGAATTTCTGGTTGAAATATTGGTAAATTAATTTCTTTTTCACTGGTATTAAGTAAACGTATAGGTATGATGCCGTTAATTGGAGAAACAATAGTCCCTGCCCTAAACAAGTCTTCCCGTAATTGAATTGGGCAAACAACACAATCCTCTGTTATATTATTATTTAATGTTACGAAATGTACCGATTCACATCGTGGGGGGATATTTAAAATGTCATAACTTATTTTAGAAGAATTATGTATTTTAATGTTACAGGTTGTATTATTGTTATACTGGAATGTTAAAATAGAATTTTTTAGATCAATATTCGATTTAAATTTATTTAAAAAGTCTAATCCGAGTATTCCATTTGATTTACAAAGAAGTTTATCAAACAAATAAAATTTGTGTTCATAAAGGGATCTGTATATCTTCCACGGCCTCTGTAAACTAGTTTAGAGTACTTACCCCTCATGTTAAGCACCGTATGGGAACTAGATGGTTGTGCGAGTTCCTCGTCTTGTGCAGCTCTCACCGCGTTCTTCAACTCTATGTAGTCTCTAGCTGAAATAATCGTGCTTAAGCGTTTATATCGTAAGCCATCCGCGAATCAAAATTTTCGTTAATGGGTCTTAGAATTTCGTAGGCTGCGCTATTAGAATCAGCCTGTGTAATTGTAAGATCTACAAATAACTCCTCTATTTTTGACGCATATTGTGAAATAGTCATTTCCTTTTGAGATACGTTGTTTAACTGTGTCATTAATGAACATGGTGACTTTTTGTTAGTAAGAAGGTTCGCATGTCCTTGACCAAACTCTCACAAGTATCATATTTAGTTTTAATTTTTAACTTAGCAGACTAAGACAACCTCGTTTTCAAAACAAATGAAATTATGAGTTGCTAAAAAGATTTTTCCGGAAGGCAACTGTCATACATTTCTATATTTTCAATAATTTGTTCTGTCGTTGATTCCCTATCATCGACACATATATAGCTAGCCGCCGTTTACAAATCGAACTTGTCCATGGTTAACAATGAAATCCTACTCTTATAACACAAAATCTTTGTATAAAATTTGCTCAATTTTATCAACAATAGTAACTAATACATTAAAGTCGTAACACTCCTTAGAAGTAACATTATACAAAACAATTTTATAGTTATTATATATTTCTTTTACTGTATTTATTTTACTTTCAACGTAATCTATATATTTATACCTTTTTTGGCCTAATTTCCTTAAAGCTATCTGTATGTCTCGTAATTGCTCATATATGAATTCTAAATTGTCCATTAGCACTCATTATTTAGAACAAATCGAAAGAAACCTTTATGTTGCACCTTTAGTAGTAAGCATACTGTCTCATCACACTGGAAATGTAGCTGGATGTCGGAGCTTCTACAACTGATTCATCCTTGCCGTCCTGGTCCCTGGCACGATGTCCTGAACGCCCCGATAATCTCGAACGCATCCTGCGGTATACGTCAGCACGTATCTCTCTTTGAATTAAACTTTTATGGCATCTTCTGTATTGCTGATAAGCCAGGTAGCCAAACGCTGCAACTAGTATTGTCAGCACCGTCGAGAGCAATATGTTGTTAATCCAGGTATGCTGAGCAGCCTCTGCACTATTGGTCCCCACGACACTTTGCGCGATAACAATGTCTTTAGGCTCGGATTTGGATTGAGATTTGCCCGTTTTGTAAACTTTAGTTGCACTATTATTCTTCAAAACAAAATGTAAAAAATTTCCATTGTACTTGTTCGCCCCTACGTTGGTAATAAGACGCCTTCATATTGACGCCATGGCCAGAGTCCAATTCGCAAATGTGCATGCGCTGCAAATTGTGTCACATACACCACCGCGGACCCGAAAAGCCCGCGCATGACAGGGTCGCCATGAGGTGAGGTGCGGGGATGTTGAAATGACACGACAGCTTTGTGAGACGGCCTGTTTATTACTGCTTTATAACTTACAATAAATATTTATTTATATCAACCTTCTTACCCCACTACACCTTATTTACCAGGGAAAGTTTGATTACATTGATGAGGTGACAGGAGCCAATGTCACCGCTTATTTTTATCAACTTGTATGATTCCTTAAAATCACGCTTGTTTTGTATGTGTCTGAATCTGATGTTCACTTGCTCTTACAATTGTTCTGGAAGCAATAAATGTCGGTCTGTATAATCATATGCGAGGTCTATCACGGTTTTGATCACACTTTCTTGCTTTTGTCGGACATTAGAGATTACGGCTGATGATAAGGTGTAATTTATTGTAACTTACTTTTCCAGACGGTTAATAGCGAAAGGAACATTTTGTAGGTACATCCGGATCATTCCAAATGCCTTTTATTCATAATGATTTTGTTTCTCTGAATAAGTTTGTATTGAGTTTCTATAACGTTTATCTGATTTTTCAACAGAAGTTGTAGCTGGTTTTCGTTCATAGAGGCATTTTCCTTGATCTTATCATATTTTTAGCGAAACTCTCATCTAGGACCTTAAATAAGAAGTTCGCTAAATAGCTCACCCCATTAATCAGTAATATTTGATACTGATTGTAGGGAAGCAAACACACCCACGATCTTTTATTAATTACTTAAAGATTATTGACCAATGGGTATTCGTAAACTTCATTATTGTATTTGTTTAGAATTTCTAAGTAAGCTATTTTTACAAATCCTAACTGAAGTTTGTGCAGCAATATGTGAAGTTCTGGAAGATCAAATTAAG